CCATCAGGAGGTTCCCAAAGCTCAGCGTTTATATAATGCTTCTGGGTGCCTATTTAGCAAGCTGTAGGCCATGAAGAGAGAAAATAGCTTTAGCCTCAAAAAAAAAAAAAAAAAGAATGAAAAAGAAAGTTCAGACAGGGCTGAATACAGTCAACTCTGTGTTTGTTGTTTAAAAGCTAGCCCTGGCAAAAAAAAAAAAAAAGAAAAAAAAGTACTGACAGTTTTTCCCCTTTAATCAAATCCCCTTAGATAATCCCAAATTTGAGTTAGGAAAGAAAATGCCAAAAGTTCAACGATGGGTAGCTATGGATGGTGGAGTTAAGAGCTTCTGGATATTTTCCCTTTCATTTTCTGATTTGTCTACATTGAACAGATATCACTGCTATAATGAGAAGGTAAATGCAAATATTTTGTTGTAAGGATTGTTTAAAAAAGGAGAGAGAGGCTAACTATGACAAACGGAATTATTGGTCCCAATTCTTTACTCCCCTGCAATAGTATTATATATCTGCCACTTGGCCTCGGTCTCATGTGGGTAAAGCATGCTTCTATCCCTGGACTCTCTGGGCTTGCCCATGTGACTTGCTTTGACCAACAGAAAATGAGCAGCCATGATGTCCACAGAGGCTTGAAAGGTACCTGAACCAATGGATATGAACCCTCATACTCCTGTCTTTTACCACTACATGATGCCTTGGGTAGCTGCTGCTGGTCTAAGAAAGAAGACAGACACAATGAGCAAATTTGGACTCAAACAGCATCGTAGAACCAATCCTAGCAGAGTCCAGACAAAATTATCCAAAACCCAGCTAACCTGCAACAATGTGAAAAAGAAATACGTGTTGGCCAATGAAAGTTTGTAGTTAGAGAAAACTGTCACCAAATGATAAACCACTTAATGCTTCAGGAAAACTCAGTGGCAAAAAATGTCTCATGGACTGAATTGCAGGGGATAAAAGAAGGGCATAACATCCTTCCTGTGCCCATTAATAAAGGGAACCCAGTCAATGATCATTCTAGGAACTATCTTCTGCCCCCTTGTTTAAAATACAGTTATTTCATTACATTTATAGCAAGACCTGTGAAGCAAGCCAGGCCCATTCAACAATGGGATTTCACATTAAAAACAGATTGTGAGCCTTATATCAATGTTACAACATATTCTTTTATTACAAGATATTTAATGCTTACAATTATTTTCCATTTTATGTATATACTGTAATACGTTTAGCCAATATCTTTTGCCAGGTATTTAGATGATATCCAATTTTAATTATAATAAATGGTGCTGATCTAAATATAACTATTGTTATTTGTCTGCATACATTCACAACTATTTCCTTATGATGAAATCTGAGCAACAGAATGGCTGGGTTAACAAATGTGTTATAGTTTAATTATTAATTAATTGTTTAGTTTTAATTTACTTTTGTTATTAAGGGACAAGGATCCCTATGGATTGAGTCAGCCCTGGATTCCAAATAAGCAAAGATTCTCCCACCTAGCATTCACTCCAATTAATCTTGCTGGAGTTTACTAGAAACCTACCGAGTACCTACTGCATTATAAATAGTGCAGTATTTATAAGAATGGACTTTATAAGAATGGACTCTGGAGCCACAACACTCAGATTCAAATCTTTGCTCTACTCTTTGTGAACAGCATGATCTTGGGTAATTCAGTTTAACTATCTGTCCCTCAGTGTTTTCGTCTGCATAATGGGGATAAGACTGCCTCCCTCACAGGGGGATAAAAATGTTTAAGAACAAGTAAGTCAATAAATGTATGTAATTCCCTAAAAACAGTGCAAGCTACATAGTAAGGTCTCAAAGTTAGCTCTCATTATTATTAGTGATAAATAGATGAAAACATCATAGATCTTGCTCTCAAAAAGCAGAGTTTAATGTAACTTACCAAGGATAATTGAGCAGCAAAATTTTCAAGCTATAAGCCTTCAAACAATCTTTGTTTTAAAGAAAGCAGTAAAAAAAAAATTGCCAAAGAAAAGAGATTTTTCTTAAAACAAAACTAAGCAATAGGAAGGTGGCTGATCTTGCTGTGACAAAATATAGAAGGTACAGATTTCTGATGGCAAAACCAGTTTGAATTAATTAAGTTTAGCATCAAGTGTATCCCAAGGTAAGATCGCGTGTGATAATTCATAGTTGCCTGTAACTAGTGCAAACTCTTTCTTCAAGATCAGAAATGATGTTTTCTTTCTGCTCCAACCCAATACTGGCACAGTGCCTGACACAAGGTAGAAACTCAACTGATAAAGGATCTAAACTGATTCTCAGAAGCCCAAGTTCTCCTCAAGTGCAAACACACCAAATCAATTCATGCTGCACATAGAACTCATAGCCGCCCATGACTGGGCTTAGTGTTTTGTAAAAATTCTTTCATTAAATCCTCAGCTGAGCTATTTAGAGGACCAATTAGAATGTTTTCTTCATATTCTAACAAAATTTACAAACAACTGTTTTTAAAAACTGATGTTCATGAAATTCTTTTATAAGCTCTCTCTCTTAAGGCCTAATAAACATTTTTGAAAATTACACAACCTGACATTTCATTATATAGAATAAGTGTATCTAAAAATAAAAAAGAGCATATAAAAATATAAAATAAAATAAAGTGTATACATAGCACACTAAATTTTTAAGAGTAGAATTGCTAGAGCTATGGAGATTATGAAATTGGAACCAACTCCGGAATTTTAAGGTGTACGCCAAATTTCATGTTCAGGTAACTCATCTGTATCAAAAACTATACTCCTGCATTGTTTTAAAGCTTTAAGTCTACTCCTCTAGCAAAAATTGGAGAGAATCATTATTGCCCCTCCTTCTGGTCAAAAAGAGTGTAACCAAAGTAAGTAAATTTCCCAAGTGAAATGAGTAAGAAAAGGAATGAATCTTTTAACCATTAAGATTTAATTTCTCCACCTACAAAATGAGGGTTGGACTAAATAATGTTTAGGATCTCCCACTTGAAAAAGCAAACACTCTGAATCTATAACAGGAAAGCAAAGAAAAATATCCTCACAAGCATTCACAGAAGACCAGTACAACTCAAGTACAAACATTTGCCTAAACTTAGTGAAGTATAGCAGTTTTCGATGAATTTCTTCCCCTTGGCCTGAGGTCAATTTCACCCTGCAGTATGCCACACTGGGCCACATGTTCCAGATTCTACTGAGCCTATGTCAGAATCCTTGCTGTTCCCAGAAATTTATTTCCCAGAAGTCAAAATCCATAATTCTCCAACAACAACAACAAAAAAACCCACATGTGAATAGCTCAACTTATTTTTCAGACCATTTAAGAATTGGCAGAGAAAACTGTACTGTCATATACAGAAAAAAACCTCTGCTTTGGGGTTTAAAAACAGTTTCTGAGTGGCTCAGTCAGTGAAGTGTCCAACTCTTAATTTTGGCTCAGGTCATAATCTCGCAGTTTGTGAGAATAAGCCCTGCATCGGGTTCTGTTCTGACACTGTAGAGCCTGTTTGGATTCTCTCTCTCCCCCTCTCTCTCTCTGTCCCTCCCCCACATGTGCCTGCTCTCTCACTCTCTCAAAAACAAACAGTTTAAAAAATAATAAAATAAAAAACAGTTTTTCCAAAGATAAGTATATTCACAGAAAAAAAGCACTCAGAAAGAAACAGAAACATAACCTTCTGTGATTTAAAGTTGAATAAAATGAAAAATTTATATGGTGAGTTCCTTAAAACTGCTTTAAATTATCTTAGGCTGGCTATCTTTCAAGTCAATACAAGTGATTTGTGTGTTCTCTGCATGTGAAATTTTTTAAATTAAATTTAACAACTTGACTGAGAAATGGGTGAAAAGAAAAAAAAACAGGATGAAAGATATGAAGACATTTCACAAAAGAAACAAATGTCCAGTAAGCACACGCAAAGATGTTCAACATCCCTTAGTCACATGTGATATGACTATCGATTAAAATGGCTAAAAGCAAAAAGACTGGCAATACCACAAGCTGGCAAGGATGCAGAGCAATTAGACTGCTCAACTGTTGTTGGTGGGAACGTAAAATGATACGATTTTGGAAACAGTTTGGCAGTTCCTTATTAAGTTCAATATACACTACTGATACATGCACCAACACAGATGAATCCTGAAAACATACTGAGCAAAAGAAGACAGAAACAAAAGAACATGTACTGTTTGATTCCATGAATGTTAAATTCTTAAGGTAAATCTAATCTGCAGTGAGGAAAAGCAAATCGCTGGTTGCCTAGGGGCCAAGAAATGAGGGGTGAAAGCGGGAAAGACAAAAAAAGCACGGCACAGGAAAGGTTTTATATCTCGATTGCGGTGGTAGCTACCCTGGTATATAAAATTTGCCAAAACTGGGGCGCCTGGGTGGCTCAGTCGGTTAAGTGTCTGACTCTTGATTTCAGCTGAGTTCACGATCTCACGGTTGGTGAGATCGAGCCACTACATTGACAGTGCAGAGCCTGCGTGGGATTCTCTGTGTCCCTCTCTCTCTGTCTCTCCCCTGCTCTCTCTCCCTAAAAATAAATAAATAAACATTTTTAAAAAATAAATTTGCCAAAATCCATACATACATCTGCTTAAACACGTCCATTTTGTTGTATGTAAATTATATTTCAATAAATAAAACTTTATCAGTAAAATCCTCAATTTCAGAACGAGTGCCCTCCTTAATACCCATCATCCATTCAGCTTGTTACGATGGGCACAGGGCATTTTAATGTAAGTGATGAACCACCGAATTCTACTCCTGACACCAATAGTATACTGTTTGTTAACTAAGTGGAATTTAAATAAAAATTTCAAAGAATGAAATAAAATAAAATCCTCAATTTTACTGCTTTTTGGCTTGGATTAGATTTCACCAAAGGGTCTGCAGAGGGCCAGGCCCATTCTGAAGCAGGCCGATTTTCACACCCGCTGTGAGGACCGGCCAGTGTGTCAGGCGATTCCTACTCTCACACATATGCCATTTGGGACTCACCTGTAAGAGCTCCTCCCAGGCTTCCCCGCCGCAGCTCTCGCCCGTCCTCACTCAGCTGTCTTTTAAACTTCAGTGACTTTGCAGGACCAGAAGTCACATCTGGGTTGCTGCATTTCCGAAATGGCATGGGCGGAGGTGACAGTATGTGGTCAAGCTGTGGAGACAAACACAGGGGCATCACAGGATAAGGATGCACTCAACACCCACCAGCCCTGTGTTCTTCCTTTCTTATCCTTCTCCAAATCCCTCTCTCCCAAGCCTGTTCCCAATGTGGTTACTTTAGAGAGTTCAGGATTTCACTGTGGTGTCCTACATCTGGAGAACATTCTGGCATACCACAAAATCTCAACTGCAATGACGTTTAAGGTGTGGGTCCCAACATGGGGCACCTGGGTGGTTCAGTCGGTTAAACGTCCGACTTCAGCTCAGGTCATGATCTCACTGTTCATGGGTTCAATCCCCGCGTTGGGCTCTGTGCTGACAGCTCAGAGCCCGGAGCCTGCTTCAGATTCTGTATCTCCCTCTCCCTCTGACCCTCCCCTCCTCACAGTCTATCTCAAAAATGAATAAATATTAAAAAAAAATTTTTTTTAAGGTGTGGGTCCAAACAAATCAGTGGGTCATAAAACCAAATTTAGCAGCTCTAGCCAGGATTTTTTAAAATATAGCACAAGCTGTTAGATTCCAATAAAGGAAAAGCAGTTTCATGAAATGTCTGATTAAATTATTAAGTTACATGCATGAGTGTGTATGTGTGAGTGTGTATGTTTGTGTGTGTGTGTGTCCTGAGTCACTGTGGAAGGTATACATCTTTCTGTGGACCATGATTCCTCTACAAAATGAGTAATATTGTTCTATAGAAAATCAAGAGATCACTTCTTTTGTTGTTCACAAAAGAAAATCCACAGGCTTCTGGTGCTCACAGATGAGCACAGGGAAGAAGTTTCCAAGCACCACAGCCCTTAATGCAAATCAATACATCCCTATATCACTTTATAGCCTTTTAAGAGAAAATCTGTCACAAGAATCAGAGAAACTAAAATCACTTCAAGGGACAGCTTTCTACAAAAGAATCCCTTGTGTCACAACACTTATTTCAAGATCTGTCCTCCTTTTCTAAGAAAACCTTTCAAACTTGAATAGGGCCACATCTTCTAAAATGTTCACCATCAGAGTATATACGCATATATATGTATCTAGATGGGTATCCAGGACAAAAACATTCATATGCATATACCTATATTCAGATAGTCGTTAAGAACAAGAAAGAAGTACAAAAGGTATTCATGGACATTCCAAATGCCACAGAAGAAAACTTTGTAGAAATTTAAATTCAGACAAGACTTCAGTAGAGCTGCTCAAATCTGAGCTTTTTAGGGATGCTCCACTGAGATTTGCTTTGCTTTGTTTTCATGGGTAGAGAAACACATATCTGGTTGTATCTGTTTGAATTTTTGCAGGTTAGCGCTATCATGGATCTCTTTTATAAGAAAACAGAATTCAGAAACAAAATCATCCATTTGTCTGTCTAGGTACTGCAGCATATTCAAAACCATGGCACAGAGAGAAATTTAACTCTGCCTTTGAGTAACTCCTCCCAAGCACACTGAGGTGGAACAGACCTTAGTGGCTCAGCTCTTACAAGATGCCAACTCTCCCCCAAGCTCACTGTATTCATTAGTAACACCCAACAGCTGGGTTTCAAGCACTTGTCAGTAAGTACCACAACAAAGTCAATGCTGGTTCTTTTTTTTTTTTTTTTTTTTTTTTTTTACTGTACTTCATGGCCACTTAGTATTCTTGTGAGAGGTCCACAAAAAAACTAGCAGCGCCTCCACTCCAGGATCAAGCCAGATCAGTAGGGAAAAGATTCCAGATTGCACTTTTGGAAGCTATTTGTTGAGTCTGCTGTTCATTACAACAGTGTCCTACTTAGGACAGACAGCCTCCATGAAGGAATTCTATCTAATTTTAGGTACTTTGGCTTCAGTCCTTATGGACACCAAACTGGAGCAAGAGAACCCTGGACAGTGACCCATCAGCTACTGGAAAATGCAGAAAGTGGTTCAAATGTGGTCTGATCATTATACAACATAGAAGTTATTTTTGCCTCCTTCTTGGCTCCATTTTATGCCTTAACTCTGTTTTTTTTTTCTTTTTTCTCGCCAATTTTTTTTATTTTTTTAGTTTGGAAAATTTCAGGACAAAATTTGCAACGACAGAAAAGTTTTAACAAGAGTACAACCAGCACCTATTCCCATGACCGCCTTTCGCCATACTACCTGTGCTCTCTCTTCTGTCTTCTCCTCCCACCCCCACATAGTGGAGAATTAGTTGCCGACATTACAAATCTTCATCCCCCAAAACGTCAAAATGCCTTCTTCTAAGAACAAGAACACTCTCTTCAATTCTCCTACCCCGTATTACATGTATCCTTTTAAGATGTCTCAGATCTTTCATTATCACCTTGAATTATGAATAGTGGGGCACCTGGGAGGCTCAGTCTGTTAAGCATCCAACTTTGGCTCAGGTTGTGATCTCACAGTCCATGCACTCTGGCCCCACATTGGTCTCTGTGCCGACAGCTCAGAGCCTGGAGCCTGCTTTGGATCTTGTGTCTCCCTCTCTCTCTGCCCCTTCCCCTCTAGTGCTCTATCTCTGTCTCTCAAAAATAAATAAATGTCAAAAAAGTTTAAAAAAAGAATTACAAATAATAGGGAAAATGTAAAATAAGATTCTATCATGTAGACTTAATATGAGAAATGTGCTTGTGCATTAAAAGGAAAGCTTGCAGCCACAAGGTGGCAATGTGCCACAGACATTCAACAAAACGTTCCCTACTAGCTAGCTACTGGATCCCGTCAATGCACCCAGAGCCCCTTAGAATATGTGAGTGACTTAGAGTCCATTCCACTTTGTTATTTTCTCCTAATTACTAATGGCAGCTGCATAAAATACAAATATTTATTGTTTAAGGTTCATCAACTTCCGCTACTTCTTTTTCATCTGAAGTTAAATTTTTCAGCTCGCAGAATTACAATTGCTCTCTCTGGGGAAGATTGTTGTATCACAAAGTAACAGAGGATGGAAAAATAAGCAAAGGAAAGATAATAAGAACTATGTGATTTCCTTACATATTTCCAAACAAAGCCCTAGAAGATGAAACAAATGGAGAAGAAGAAAAATCAAGGAAAAAGTGTAAGAAAACAAAAAAATCTATTTCATCACATATATAGCCATGAGCTATTAATCCATAAGCCAGCATTTCTAATCAGAACCAAAACCTCAAGAGAGGAGTATTACTTTAAATCTGGGAAAATGGAGTCAGTGAACTGCGAGGGCTGTCAATGCTTCAAACACAGTCTAAGAAGAAAAACCTGTAAGCGTAGCACCATGTTCCAAGATCCCATTTCCTTCTTCATTTCAAATCACAATCCCAACAGGGCTCTCTCTAAATAGATCATTTTTCCAAATTTGCTGGGTTGTCAGGGGTTCTACTTTTCTTCCTACAATTAGTCAAAGCTTCTCAAAATGGTCCACTGCAGCCCTGTGATTTTTCATTTTTTGTCCTGATTCAAACACTTACGCTCCATTGACAAATACTTCATCACACCCTAGAGCTTGTGGGAGACATCAAACATATGACTTTAGACACTGCCCTTTAAAGGATTCCTGTTTAATGTTTTCCAACTTTTTCCAAACTCTCCAAGTCTTCATACTACAAGAGGCTCAACTAATGACAGAGCTTGTCTTTAAAGCAAACATCAAAGCCTGTAGTTGTCACGCCTGCTTCACACACTTCTAATTTTCCTCACTAACAGACAATGGACTCCTAGAGAGGTGGCCCTCTTCCCTTGTCGCCTACTTACCTAGCCCGCTGCTAGCCAAAACTAGCCTGGGAAAACACACATGCCCCAGAAATACAACCTTACTTCATTCACCAATAGCAAATACTGTTTTGTGATGGACTCCATTTGTTCAAAATTTTTCAGGTTAGTTTTCTCAACCTCCTGTAGTCTCAAGAACCACAAAACAGTTTGAAGAAGTCCACTGGCATATTACTAAACATCAAAGTCAGATAGATAGGGACCAAACATACCACTTACATGTAAACAACTGCTGTTGTTAGCGGTTTATCACAGGGAGCATGAAAGCCTCTTAGAACAAAAGGTGTACAGAAACTGTAATATAAGTACTAGAAGTCTGATGCAGATTTGGGGCAAAGTTTCCAAAATTCTCAGTCATATCGAGAAGCTTATCACCAGAACTCCACATTTCTTTTCTGAATTTATGATCTCCATTTACTGTTGGCTGTTTTACAATGATCAGGCTGAGAAAAAGAGAAGAACCCATCACTGTCACAATGCGGCTTCTACCATCAGTGAAGATGAATTAAAAATAAAAGTAGGAACAGGGCGCCTGGATGGCTCAGGTCATGATCTCATGACTCATGGGTTTGAGCCCCACATTGGGCTCTGTGCTGACAGCTCAGAGCCTGAAGCCTGCTTCGAATTCTGTGTCTCCTTCTCTCTCTGCTTCCTTCCCTCACACTCTGCTTTTCTCTTAAAAATAAATAAACATTAAAAAAAAAAATAACAAACTACAGGTAGGAGCGCATGAGTGGTTCAGCCACTTAGGCACTTGTCTCTTGATTTTGGCTCATGTCATGATCTCTCAGTTTGGGCAATCAACCTCCATACAGGGCTTTGTGCAGACAGCATGGAGGCTGCTTGGGATTTTCTCTCTGCCTGCCCCTCTCCCATTCATACTCGCTCGCTCTCGCTCTCTCTCTCTCTCTAAAAAAATAAATTAAATGAATGAATAAATAAATGAAAGAAAGAATGAACGAACAGGTAAAGGCAAATCACTGAGAAGTCTTGATCTTTTTTTAGTGTCTCTGCCATTCCCACCCCTATCTCCAAACATGGACCATGGGTTTATTCTTCTATGGGTATAGGCCCCAGGAACACCATCATCTCTTTATAAAAGGGCATATCCTAACTTTCAATGAACATTCAACTTGGAGCCTTCTTCACTACTTTTTCCAACTTCACCTCCAGACCCTTTCACACTCAAGCACACAAGTTCTCTAATTTACAGTTTCTACACAGTCACACTGATCCTATGGACATAAAACTATTTTTCCATTTTCAG